TGCCCGCACCTGCCAACGACTCGGGGTTCCGAACAGTGGAGACCATCTCAGTGCACGGAGAAGGTTTCAGTACGTCATATACTCATCTCTAGGTCAACGCCATTTTGGTTTTAACAATAATACTATTCACACAATTGCAAGTTGATATTATTTCCGCGTATTCTGTACATATGTGTAGTTTACCTGCTGACATCCCAACATAATAAGGTCCAAGTTTCACATCGTGGTCACGCTGAACGCTGAAGAACTATGCTGAATAACGCGACCCTAGCATGCAACAAACTTCGCTAACCAGTACTACATTGTTTCTTTCAGCTCTACATGACGACAAACACAACAGTTACTCAAGAATACAATCAAAAAGTGGAACAAAATACCAGGTGAGTGCCTAACCATCCTTATTTTATGCAATAGTGTTCATAATCACGATGGTTAAGCAATGTTCGCATCTCTATATAGTACTTCTTTCACAATAAGCTGTGTGACTTTTGAAATACGGTAACATGTTTACTATGATGTCATTGCTGGGAAAACAGTGTAGCCTGGGTGCCAGGCCCTGTGACACGATACTCCATTCAGTCGGGGAAACCACACGCCCAGAACCGAGAATAGATACTCTAGATAAATTGAAGAAGGATGCCAGCTCCGAAACTGGGGCGTGTTGGGCGATATAGATGCCCGATCGAGAGACTCAGAAAAAACACTTTCTTTCTCCTAAGCGAGGAGGTAAGCTCCTTGTTCTAAGTGCTAGGGTCTGGCACATATGCTAGTCATAATGAAATTATATATACATGTATTACCTGGCAGCAGAAAATCTCACACGGCATGTATACTTCATGATGTCGCAAATTTCATTGCCAGAAAAGGGTGTATTTATGTGTCCGCTTCATTGCTCTTTTCTCTCTTTATACCACAGGCAGACTTCGGCATGTCCACCCTGAGATGCAGACTACAGCAGGAATTTACTGGCTAGCACGAAACCCAGTCGTGGAAGGATTGGGGTGTGCATTCATGTTTTTCACGCAAGAAAGTTGAAAAACAAGCACTGCAGCTGAATGCAACAGCATCGTGAAAGCAAAGAAAAAAATAATAAAAAAGCAAGACTGACACAAACATGCATACATTGTGTGTTACATAGAAAACACACAAGTGAATAAAATTCCTTACACAAAACATCACTATTACATGTATCACACAGGTAAGTTATAAAAAAACGACCAGCATCATATAGTTGAAACTAAAAACATATTTGAAGCATTATAAGCTTGAATATGCTGCACCTTGTTCTTTCTTATGAGCAACAAAATTTGTTCTTTCTTGATAGAAGAAAACATATTTGAAATATCAATAAAGATAATCATTAATTTTCTGTGTGCAAAAAGGCACAGTTTGCCCGAAAAGGTGCTTTTTGCATGCATGGTAACATATTAGGCCTTTCCTGCTGGGTCCGAAGACATAAGGCCGGACGCTACCTCAAAACCAATTCCCCAGGGAATGCATTCGTAAAATTTTCTAAATTCTTTCAGCTTGATCGTAATATACTGTAAAAATGCCTCCGCCCCTGAGGCGTCGCCAAAAAGTTTCGATGATCTAGTGTAACTTACTGAAACCATGGATAATCTGATAGCACATTTCATCGTCTAGACTCTAGTCTTGGTTATTCAAACACCGTGCTGCAAAACGCTTTATCTGTCATCTGTAGTCGCCAATACAATCTAGGCTGCATTACAGAAAAATGTCGCAAAGGGGCGCTTCGAATAGACCTACATGCTCACGATCTTGTGCTTTGTTTTGACTGGACTGGCACAGGAAAGCTAGCCTCTACCTCGACTAACTACGCTGGCTATATATAGGAGAATATTTCCCGGGGGAGTTTGGCCTCCTTGTAGGTTTGACTGGCAGCGCAGTTAAAAGAAACTACCTCCCCGCGGCCAAACTCCCTTGGCCAATTTTACTCTCCTTTTTTGCCGAATTCTACGATCCGTATTCCCGTAGAAAGGCCTGGTGGAGGCTAGGAAAGCAGTACTAGTCACTGAGACATTTCTGCCCTTCATTGACACATTGTCTGTACATGATGTGAACGTTCGCAACAATTAATCATGGCTACCTACTTTCAAGTAAGGAAAGTCCCTTCTTTTTATAACATTGAAGAATATTGGTGCTACAACGTAAAGATGTTACAAAGATGTTACAAATATATTTCAAAAGCCCCACGCTTCTATATTCCACATGTATATAGATTAACAAGTCTTGCATCTGCACAATTGTCACCTCCTCATTTGTGGCAACTGTGTCCTTTTGTAGAAAAAGACCACCCGTGAATTTCTGTTATGCATATGCCTGAAACCAGCCTGAAATACATGCAGTGTTGATCCAAACCGCAGGGAGGCGTTGTAATATCGTGAAACGCCAAGACGCCACAAGCAAATAAAAACAAACCAAGACATGTACAAAACGATGTTAACGATGATATGCTTGAAAATATTTGACTTGGTATGTCCTTTAGCGTGATGGACATGCGGTGTATCTCTGTATACAGACAAACACAAAAACATCAGTGTTCTTGATGTTTCATTCAGCACCAGGGACAGGGCTATTTACCAAAGCCCAAACCGGCAAGGCGACAACAGGGGTGCCAAAGCATACAGTGCAATTTTACGGAATACAGTGCAATTTTACGGAATACAGTGCAATTTTACTAGTATACAGTGCAATTTTACGGAATACAGTACAATCATGGTATTATATATACAGTGCAATTTTACGGAATACAGTGCAATCGTATTAGTATACAGAACAATTTTACAAGTATACAGTGCAATTTTACTAGTATACAGTGCAATTTTACTATAATTTGGTGTGGGCGTACCTTGGACATCTACCCATAGGACGTTGTTAACGCTTATGCCATTAACAACGTGAACATGACTATTTTTTTTTTACTTTTCAGCTACTTTCCGACCAAAAATGGTTAATTTAAGAACCATTTATATAAGTCATAAGCGAACGCCTGCCACTGTAACAATTTTCTAGCGCGTTCATGAATGGTATTCTTTCAACAATTTTCATTACAAAAACATAGCCAACACCGGGAATGGACGAAAGTAATCGATGAAAACAAACGCGCAATTCATAGAGAAAGGAAGAAATCCTACCTCTTTAGGCTTGCTGATGCTTCAGGACCTGAAACAAACTATATTTTTGTTAATGTGCGCCTTTATTTGCTGTTGAAAATTATTTTGTTGTTCGTTTTCTTGGGAGAAATCCTGTTGTGTGACCGCCTCCTAACACGGCAAGTCTTCGAATGATACTGAATTCGAACATAAACAAAATTGCTGCTTAGCAACCACCTGTTACCGCACATTAGAATCTGTAAACAACCCTGTTGCTTAGCAATTGTTTGTTGTCACGGATTCAAATTTAACGGTCTTCTAGCGCAGTATAGGAGAGGATCAGACACGACCGATGAAAACAAAAACGCAAAACATGAGGAAAGGAAAGAAAATCCTACCTCTTGACAGGTGCCCAGGTCCAGAAAAATGATATATCTTAATTTTTTACCTTTATCTTGTTGTGTGACCGCCTCCTAGCACGGCCATTCCTCGGAGGATTCAGAATTTGAACCTGTAAACAACCTTGCTGCTTACCAACCGCTTGTTGTCGCGCATTCAAATTTGACGGTCTTCTAACGCAGTAACGTTACACACCAATAACGAAACCAACAGAGGAAAATAAGCGCGCAAAACACGAGAAAAGTAAAGAAAATCCTAGATATTTGGGCCTAAAGCTGTCGAAGGACATGAAATAAATGATTTATGTTAAATGTGTGGCTTTATTTACTATTGATAATTTAACGGTCTTCTATAGACTAGCTCAGTACACACAGAGAACAAAACCGATCTCGAGCGGTGAAAACATGGCGTAAAACACGAGTAAAGGAAAGAAAATCCTACCTCTTTTTAGGCCTACAGGTTCCCAAGGTCCTGAAAGAAATGATTTATGTTAAATGTGTGCCTTTATTTGCTGTTGAAATGTGTTTTTTGTTTTGTTGATCCTTTTCTAGGGAGAAATCTTGTTTTGTGGCCGCCTTCTAGCACGATCAGTCTTCGAATGATACCGAATTCGAACATAAACAACCTTGTTGCTTAGTAACTGTATGTGACCTCAGATGACCCCAGGTGTGCCATTTGCTCTAGAACGTCTCGCGCGAATCAAGAAGTTGGTATATATAGCATTTCTATGTCTATAAAATCTTGCTGCCCAGCAGTTGTTTGTTGTCCCGCATTCAAATTTAACGGTTTTCTAGCGCAGCATACGGAGAAAACAAGTTCCACAATCTCATACCTTCACCAAATGATGTTCACGTTTAGATGTATGTTTGGATATGTAACGTATGTTAGGTTGTATGTGGTTTGGCACGTTAACTCAAGAGGCTTTGGATGCCAAGAAACTTCATGAAGTTGGTCGCGTTTAGGTCTTGTCCTATGGAAGAAATAATTACAATTTTGGCCCTCTGTCGGCTTATCTTGGCACTGCAGCAAAACTTGTGGTTTTGATATCTCGTGTTCTGGACTGCCAAATGTGGACAATTTTTGCCATATGATCTTAACAAATGCATACTGTACCCAGGTCCAACAACCTCATGAAACAAGGACTGGATAAAAGTACCATTCAACACACTCCTTCAAATTCCTTCTATTTCTCACACCTTTGACAGCCTTAGTACTTAACCCTAAACAGTACACCTGGGGTCCGCGCGGACCCCAGCACTATATATTCTGTAATATCTTTTTTGTTTCTAAGGATTTTTTTCTGAAATTTTAGGTAATTGTTACCCACAAAGTTGTCTCTCAATACAGTGCAGAAAACTCCGTTTCTACCATTTATAAAAAAAATTATATCTGATTTTCTTTTGGGGTCCGCGCGGACCCCCAGCCGGCTTTCGATCATAATGGATACACTGGCGTTCTTATACATTACCTTATTTCCGTTTTTATATGTTTTTATGCACTCATCGTATGTCTACCAAGTTTTCAGAGGATGGTGTAGTAATAGAATAAAATTTTAATGACTTTGGTGTAATTATGACGTCATATGACGTCAGAGCTAATAATATAGTCCGCCATATTGGATTTTGACCAATGACGTCATCAAATTAGCATATTCTATGCATATTAAATGATTTAACTTATATTTAAGTATGTAAGATGTTATTAATGTTGGAAAAGAAGTGTAATTTAATATAAGACTCAGAAAATTTTTATGTTTAAACCAAAATTACTTCTATTTTCAAAAGAATAGCCCGTTGCCATGGCAACAACAAAAAAACATCAACTTACTAGTATTAAACTAATATGAACTTTTTTCCAGAGACATTTTAGGAAAGGTCTCCAAATTTGATACTTCTAGCGCAAGCCGTTTAGCCGCTATCTGAGATCAAAGTTGGGCCTCAAAAGCCCCTTCAGTCTGAAATGGGTTTAAAAATCGGGTATTTCTTCTTGTCTTCTTTTCTTCACCAAAAAATAGAAAAAGTTCAAAATGTATGATTTGTGTATGTAATGTGGACACAGAGGTTCCCACATCAGTTTGCAAAACAATTAAGCTAGTAGCATGTTGATAATTTCTAAAAAATTAGCAAAAAACTGTTCTGGGGTCCGCGCGGACCCCAAGTGTACAGATTAATCAGTCCGGGAAGGTGTACTGTTGAGGGTTAATGTATTCTTCACAGATTATAAGATCAATTATCATACAGCCAGATAGCATTGACCAATCAGAGGTCCCCATTTGCTATTGGTTATGACACCATAACACACCCAGAGGTCATTAAAATTCCATAAACACCGGAACCAATCAGAGTCGACCGATATGGCCGCCGATGACGTCATAGGTAACACGTTTTGTTCGAATTTCATCAGATCGAACATGATTCGGGTTACAGAACAAACTTAGTCTAAGGACATTTTTAACTTTGCCTGCATGTCATCTAGCGGAGAGAGCACGACATAATGTACGGGTTAAGTAAGGAACACTAGTAAACAAAGTATCGTACCGGATCGCAGACTTCAAAATGTTTCATCAAAGTTCATAAGACTCGCTTGTGTTGCGCACAGAATTCAACAGATGAATACCGCTTTCTCGTACTTTGTAACTCGTTTGTAAAACTGTTATTAATAGTGGTGTGACGTCATCTTGCTTGAGTTTTATTTATAATTTCCAACAGGTAATCGCAAGACGTGCTTGATATTGTCTACAATCTTGGGGATTTAGTAGTCTCATTGTTTCTGACATTGTCTCCTTGCAGCACAAGATAAATACTTTAATGTTTATTGTAAATTTACGGAGAAATACCTAAATCGTAGTGCAATCTACTATGTATACATTTGTAAGTACCCTTGTGCAAATAAGCTGCGAAATTTCAAAGCGTAACGACGCCACTGTTTCAATACAACTGTAGTATGGTATACTTACACACTGCATTTTGTAAATAAAATGGCGACACACACTTTCTGTATGGTAATTTTTTTCCGGAAGAGTTGTTACTGTAATGTTTTGCTTGTTTCTGATTGAATCACTAGTACATTATATGCGTGTCCTGGTCATGAAATGAAGCGTGATTGTGAGTGTACCATAACGAGCTTGTTATGGTGGCGGGGCAGAAGTGATCAAATACATGAAATAGTTGCGGTGGATCTTGACCGCTAAAGACACTAATATTCGCTACGCTCACTTGGTGGTTTATTCGGTGGTGATCACACCTGACCAGGGATTATCTCACCATATACACCTCGGGGCGGGGCATTAACCCTTTATCAATTCCAGAGACTATCTAACTTACCATCAGAGACAATCTATAAAGTCTATTTGTATGACAATTGTAGTTTGCATCTTTGTACCTCTACAATTACACATTTTCTACATTTTAATTTCGTATCATGCTTCACTGCACACTATACAGTACAGATATTTTAGACATTCATATTCTGATAAAATAATTCACTACATGCAAATTCTTAAAAGCTTACACTGATTAATAAGTAACATATTGCGGACTACAAGAATTCTTATTGCTTCATAATACAGGGCACTGTAGGCAAAATTAAGTAAGTCACGTTTTGTATAATGATTGCACGTAAATATAACAATTTCATTTTGAAGGTAGTATATGTTCTAGCCATATTTAAAACAAGAGCATTAACTGTTGTGATCATGTTAAATGGTAATGTATGAGTCAGCCACAGAAGCCCACTGATATTGAATTATTTCTGTGTAAGGCCATGTTGATTTGATTATATGGATGACATCCTCTGGGAACCCCAAACTGATGCGAGCGTGCGACTAAAAAAAGTTTGGCAAAAAAAGGTCCTTCATTATGAAATCTAGGTGTTCATAAAGGTTGAACAAATGACTAAACACACAGAGTATGGTATAGCAAATAATAATCGGCTCTTCATTTTCATTTCGTCACAATGTCATTTTCTTCTTTTCCTGAATTGATTTCAGTATTCTATGACATTGGTATCGTTTTTCAATATTTTTTTTGCAACATACGACATATATTCGCTCATTTTGTACGATTTACAGTATGGTCGAAAACTTTTTTATTGGAAACGGCCGAAAATTCATGCGCGCGTGGATGTCATCCATATAATCAAATCAACATGGCCTAAACAGTACACTGTGGCTCACAACCTTTACTCCCTAAAACCTTTCAGATACATTTGCAGTTCTTTACATATTTACTTTTCCCACATAATTGTCAAACAAAGAGGCGTGCTGAGATGATGGTTAACTGTTTCGTAAACACTTAAGGCAATGGTCTAGCTTGTAGTAACTCATATGTCAGACTCCAGTCAGTTTTAAGCAATGTGTCAATGGGTCAATGGGTCAAGTTTGGCTGTATATTGTCAAACAGGTATTTTCAACCAACATTCTTAACAAAATTGACCATATATGTGTGTGTTTGTGATCATATATATGTGGGGTAGTAAAGGTTATCTAGTATCGTAGACAAACAGTTTTAGCCACCATGTTGGTTGTGATATCTTGTCAAGTGAATCAATGTGGCAGGGTAGCAAAAGAGTAGTAATAAACACTTTAAGCATGAAGGTTCATCTGTGTTTGGTACAAGTCATTATGAAATAAAGACTAAACTTCATCTACCAACACTGGAATGAATTGAGACGTACCCAATTTTTTCGGCTCGGATTCCATCAAACTTGTTCACAGAACAGAGAGACCTACCCTGAACAGAGACGGGGGGCGACACAAGTTATCTGGCACGTATGACCTGGCACGCTATTGCGGTCACGCGTCTCTGACGTCACGCTCCAAGAGTAGACGGGTCCATTCCGTGAACAAGGTTGATGGAGTCAGCCGAAAATTTGAGTAAGTCCCTATTCATTCCAGTGTTCAGATATAGTTTATCTTGAAAATTCATCTGTGTTGGTAGAAATCATTATATGAAGCAAGTTTAAACTGGATTAAAGAGGCCATCTACATCATGGCATTACAACCATCCCTCAACAGAGACGGGGGGCGCCACAGACATTCTGCAACCTATGATCCATGACTGCTCACGGAGTCACGCGTGTTATCTGCGTGGCGTCACGGAAGCGGTGGATTGCTCATTCCTTGACAAAGACTGGAGTTGTACAGTCGAAAATTTGGGTGAGTTCAATTTGTTGTGTTGGCAATTACAGTTTAAACTTGCTTCATAACATATAGTTTGGTCCTTATTTCATAGAGTTCAACACTTGAGACGTTGGCAGAAGACCTAAGTGGCTATGTCCGTCCTGGCCTCCAGTTTCAAGAACATGCCGTGGTCAGGCTGGGTCAGGTTACTCACCTTCACACGGATGGGGATCTGAAGGGGACACAAACAAGGTAAACATCACTGTACCTTACTATTTTTTTAACGGAGTGGTTCAATGCAAGTCCTATACGACCACTTCTTGTCATTGAACTAGAAATATGAGAGAAACATGGCTATGTCAAGCTTAGAGATGGTGGTGAACGTTTAATTTGAAAGCCTGTAGATTGTAGGTTGGTGGGAAACACTTGTCATGGAGGGAATTCCAAAACTTGGCCATACGGGGAAAGAAACTGTCACTGTAAAAAGATTTCGAACAAGGAATTTGAACGGTGAAGTTGTGTGAGCTAGTGGAGAAAACTAGCTTACTAGCCTGGTATCCAGTCTTACGTGGTGGGGGCGGGTTTTCCTCGGGGCTGCAGGAGCTCTTCCCCGCCCGCCTGAGCTAGGTTTCCCGGTGGGTATTTCACGAGAGATTGATTAGCCCTACCACGTTCGTGTTGGGGCAAATCAAATCCCCAAGCATGCCATTTGTATTAGCGTAACGGGTCGGCCTGTTGGCACTGGGCGGGGGGAACAGCCCCAATCACGTAAGACTGGATACCAGGCTACACTGTACCTAGGATACTGGAGTTTTCTTTTACACAAGTGCTTGTCTCACCTTGTCTCACATAAATTTGATAATGGATTGTACACTCTACAATGATAAGCGCCTATTGCTGTTCACTTTTCTTTCCGCTTGATCAACTGATTTCAATACGTTAGATCCTATGGATAAATTCAATTACACCCTCAGAGGAGATAACCAATACAGTACTCAAATAGGAAAAAAATTAAAGAATGTTTCAATCTTAGAGACTACATGCTAGAGAATAGTTAAACCTTTATTGTTACACTAATATATATTCTGTTTGTAATTTGCCACATACATATATTCTGTACGTAGGATGAAGTTATCCATACATGTATTTAACTTTGTTAGAGCTTTAGTTGTAGAAGACCATACAAACGTCCCTGTACTTTTTATTGTGCCAATAAAGTTATGTCAAGTTGTGTCAAGTTAATCCCTGCCTACCTACCGACCATATTTTTTCAAACCCGTAATAGGAAACGCATCATTAATGAAAGAAAAAAATTCCTAGGCCTAAGGGCATGACATAATTGGTATAATCAGTTTATGGAACATACATTCGTGTAATGCATGAAAAAGTGTTGTAAAAGTTGTAGGGTTGTGTACCTGAGTCTTCTCACATGGCCTGAGGCGGTATTTCATCAGGATCTTGGCGATGGCAAACTTGACCTCCAGCATGCCCAGGCGCTTCATGACGCAGCTGCGCGGGCCGACTCCCCAGGCCACGTACGCGTACGGGTCACGGTTCTTCTTCGCTTCAGGTGTGAACCTGGAGGGCGGATTCAGTGGTTACAAGGCGGCACATGGTGGTTTTCGTCCTATGGGGATTTCTATGGTTAAGGTCCCCAAAATGACTCACTTCCACTCACTGATAATTATACTAGGGTGCACAAGCAAGGGTCAAAATTTTGATATATTTAATTTAAGGTTATAGTGTACAAAATATGTGAAAATGAGCTTAAATTTGCCGTTTTCTTGTCACGCCCTCTTCTATTAGCGCCACTGCAGAGGTCATGGAACTGCAGCCAACGCACAGTACTAGGCGGGACAAGTATCCAAGCGAAAATCTACGCCGACTGAATATGCACCATAATTCAACTTTCACAGTCTCAAGACTGACTTATTCCTCTAACATTTACCACAGGTTACATCTCGATGCCATGCACAGAACAATCTCTGTACCTTTCTCTAGTATTGTGCACTACTTTGTACCCGGACTGTGTTGTGTGGCCTTATACCCCCATTTCACTTGACGGAGCTCACGCCGTGCTCTCACGGCGACCTGAAATTGGCAAGAGCACAGAGGGCACGCCGAACTCCAGGGAAAACGTGCTCAAGTGGAATGCGATAAACAAGAAAACAGTTACTCAAGCAACTGGATAGAGATATTGGAAGCTGTCGGACGTTTCAAGTAGCATCCAGTACTTCTCACCTCCATGAAAAATGGAGGTATTGTTTTTGGCGTGTCTCTGTGTGTGCCTGTCTGTGTATGTGTGTGTGTGTGTGTGTGTGTGTGTGTGTGTGTGTGTGTGTGTGTGTGTGTGTGTGTGTGTGTGTGTGTGTGTGTGTTTCCGTAACTTTGTGGTCAGCATAACTTCAGAACGCCTTTATGGATTGTGATGATATTTGATATGTTGGTAAGTCTTGAGAAGACAAAGGTCAAGGTCAAATATGGGCCTCCTGGTGGATAACCTTGGTACTGCAGCAGAACCGTTTTTTTGTCCTAAACATGCTGCAGCTGAACTGTCCTTAATGTACCCCCAAGTAAAGAAGTATATGGTATTGTATCCGTCAGAAAAATTGATATTTGACATTTGGATTCCATGGAGAGGCAACAATATGTTATAAATGCTAATTTGTGCTGCTATATAATATCAGTAGTGTTCTATATACCTCTCAGGATCGAACTTCTCCGGGTCTGGCCAGTTGTCAGGGTCATAGTGGATGGCGAAAGAGGAGAACTGGACACACATGCCCTTGGGATTCTTCACTCCATCAAGATCGATGTCCTCCTTGGCCTCACGGTCAAATCTAGAAGACACAAGAATGAATATCTCCGAAAATAACTTCATCTGGTTGGTAGAACATAGGATCTTGTGATTTTTTTTATTCCAACATTTCATGACTAGACATGGTGACAGCACACTCAAGTTATATCAACTTATTTTATGCCGCCACCAACACAGAGGCGCAGAGGACGAATACAGGACAAGACAATACTTAGGAAAGCCGTGTAAAGTGCCTTTCCCAAGGGCACAAGATCGGTGGCATATCTGGACTCGAACCCGGGACCTCTCGGTTCCGAGTTGAGCACGCTGCCGATTCGCCACACGACCCCACATAATTTTCTTTTTACACAACTAGTAATGTCTCTTGCTGTAGTACGTTTCGATGTCTGTCAGAAGCTTTCCTCAGATCACCTAACTGAAGTTTTTACACAACTAGTAATGTCTCTTGGCTTGCTGTGGTACGTTTCGATATCTGTCAGAAGCTTTCCTCAGATCACCTAACTGAAGTTTTTACACAACTAGTAATGTCTCTTGGCTTGCTGTAGTACGTTTCAATGTCTGTCAGAAGCTTTCCTCAGATCACCTAACTGAAGTTTTTACACAACTAGTAATGTCTCTTGGCTTGCTGTGGTACGTTTCGATGTCTGTCAGAAGCTTTCCTCAGATCACCTAACTGAAGTTTTTACACAACTAGTAATGTCTCTTGGCTTGCTGTGGTACGTTTCGATGTCTGTCAGAAGCTTTCCTCAGATCACCTAACTGAAGTAGTGCACGTGCTTCTCGCCACTATATGTAGAGGGCTACGAACCCAGCCACGTTTGGGATTGTGTTCTCGCCGCAAAAGCGCCACCTAATTTCGCAACATACAGCGGGGAGAAGCGGTACTCCAGTTAAAAGTCCAGTGTCTGACAGACATCGAAAATTTTAATATGTAGGAATCTTGTTCTTTTTTGCCCGCTCGCATCAGATTTGGAGTCTGCGGAGGATGTCATCTATAAAGTTTATTTGCTGTGGCCTAGCACCTACCGCTGGGAGGGCGGATACATGCGCAGGGTCTCATCCACACACATCTTCAAGTACTTCATCTCGTGGGCAGCATCGTAGTCCATGCGTTCCTGTTTCAACGACAATTTTGCCTTCAATTAATAACTAGACCAATTATCTTTCAAAACAACATTGAAGGATTATTGAGAACATTGCTATCTGACCTTGAATTGACCCCCATATGGACCACGTCGTTTTGCACTTATAAAGACACTTAGTATGTTGCAATAATGGTCATACATAAGGAAATAACATATAGCAAAGCAAATGCATAATGTTTACCTTCAGATATATGGTCTGCTCTGTTAATTCTTACTCAAACACATTCACATACATGTATATGATGACAGGAGTCTAAATCCCTCCTACTATAGTGAAATTGCAACATTATGTAACCCGACACTAGTTACCATGGTGACAGACGTCAACAAATGAGGCCATTGGCCAGGTCAGAGGTCATTGGAGAAGAAGAAGAGGAAGGAGAAGAAGAAACCGAGCAAAAATAATATGTTTTCCTTCGGTAAACATAATTATGACCTACCTTGCCCCTCATGATTCCGTCGATCTCGGCAATGACCCTCTCCTGGATGTCCGGGTTGAGAGCCAGGTTGTACGCCAGGAAGGATATGGTGGTCGCGGTGGTGTCGTATCCGCCAATCCAGAAAATAAAGCCGTTGGCCAAAATCTCATTGTAGGAGAGCCCTGTATGGTCAGTAGGGGATTATATTACATTTAAGTGTCTCAGAGAACTTTTTGATAACTTAGTGAATCTTATAACGTTCACAATACAACAACGACAATTTAGCTTTGGCTTTTAACCAAAAAATGTCTTAGTTGTAGCATGTGTGATATTAAGAACAGAGTAGAGGTAAAGAATACAAAATGGTGTCAGTGTGATTAAGTGGGATTAACAAAGAACTGCTATGCGTGTATCAAACACCATCATGACACCATTTGGAACTAGGACAGAGAGTGAATAAACCCTAGTAGCAGAAGTAGGGAATACAAAATGGTGTCAGAAGTGGGATTAACGAATTCGAAGAACCCCTATGAGTGTATCAAACACTATCGTGACACCATTTGGAACTAGGACAGAGAGTGAACAAACCCACGTAGCTGAAGTAGGGAATACGACATGGTGTCAGAAGTGGGATTGACAAAGAACCTCTATACGTGTATCAAACACCATCGTGACACCATTTGGAACTAGGACAGAGAGTGCATAAACCCTAGTAGCAGAAGTAGGGAATACGACATGGTGTCAGAAGTGGGACTGACAAAGAACCTCTATACGTGTATCAAACACCATCGTGACACCATTTGGAACTATAGGACAGAGAGTGAACAAACCCGCGTAGCAGAAGTAGGGAATACAAAATGGTGTCAGAAGTGGGATTGACAAAGAACCTCTATACGTGTATCAAACACCATCGTGACACCATTTGGAACTATAGGACAGAGAGTGAACAAACCCGCGTAGCAGAAGTAGGGAATGCGAACTGGTGTCAAAAGTGGGATTCATCCCGTAGATATACGTTGAAAGACAACAATCAGCCCCACGTGACAGCCTGTATCATCAGCACGTACACGTCGTACTAACCGTGTTTGATAGTCCCTTTGTGCTCGGGGTCATCCAAGGACGTGTTGTGGGATTTCAGCAGCAGCTGCATCACGTCAACTCGTTTCTGAGTTATTAAAAGAAGGAGTCATGATATAAAACTTTGTAATTAGTGCAGCAAACAAGTTTTAATTTGCAATTTGGAAGAGTTGGTTCCTTGGTTGGTTGGTTATATGGTTGGTTACTTGTTTGGTTGATTACTTGGTCGGAAAACACGAATAAGGTTTAATGCAATGCATGGCCTGAGAATAGGACTGTGTCTAACTTACGTCCGATTCAGCTGGATTGGACTCCCTGATAGAAATCACCCTCCTGATGGCGTCGGCAAAAAAGTTGAAGACAGGCGGCGGCACGATGTTGAAGAACCAGTTTCGGCGGTCCAGAAAGAAGGCAAACCACGGAAAACCAACTGTACACACAACATTCAACAACATTGGTCATTGATCATGTGTGTGTGTGTGTGTGTGTGTGTGTGTCTGTGTGTGTGTCTGTGCCTGTGTGCGTGCGCGCGCGCGTGTGTCTGTGTGTGTGTGTGTCTGTGTGTGTCTGTGTCCGTGTGTCTGTCTGTCTGTGTGTGTGTGTGCGTGTGTGTGTGTTGTGTGTGTGTGTGTTTCTGTGTGCGTGTGTCTGCCTGTGTGTGTGTGTTTGTGTGTGTGTTTGTGTGGTGTGTGTGTATCTGTGTGTGTGTCTGTGTGTGTGTGTGTCTGTGTGTCTGTGTGCGTGTATCTGTGGTCGGCATAAATTTAAGAAGGCCTTTAAGGATTGTAATGATATTTGGTATGTGGATAGGTCTTAGGGAGGCGAAAGTCAAAGTCAAATTTGGGCCCTCTATGTCTTTTCTCTTCGCAAATTATCCATTGGCAAGTGTTTTACAATAGTAGTATCAATCATCAATATTTAATGCCATACAAACGTGTTGTGTGAAACATTTTTTATCTGTACCTTTTTTTATTTTCTTCAACATGTACAGTGGCTGTTTTGTTATCTTTTTTTTATTCCAACAAGCAATCTCCAGACTAGGTGACGGCACACCAAGTATTAACAACTTATATTAATGCCGTCCCCAACACAGGGGACAATACATGACAGGACAATACTCATTTTCACCAGAGCCAAGTGAGGAAAGTCGTGTAAAGTGCCTTTCCCAAGGGCACAAGATCGGTGGCATGTGAGGACTCGAACCCGGGACCTCTAGGTTCCGAGTCGCGCACTCTGCCGCTACGCCACACGACCCCACCATCTTATCTTTCTGATAAGAGTTATAAGCCACCGGTACTTACAAGTCAGCAGAGTGAAGGGACTCAGGGCTCCGATTGCATAGAACTTTTTAACGTTTTTGATGAAGATGCTGTCTGGGTCGCTGAGGGAGTTAACGTCGGTTCCGAATCCCGTGCTGGAAATGACATCCATGGTGTAGCATCCGAAAATCCTGTATGAAAAGAAGAAAACAAGAAATCTGAAATTCGAAACCTCAAGGACGTATATAATGCATAATGTTCCAAACAACCACTGACATTTGAAGCCACCGCGTTAATATTGACAGCAATGTTACCAGTAACGAGAAAAAAACTCAAAAGAAGGGTGATCACAGTTATAATACATAATGGGGATCGAACCCGGGACCTCTTGGTTCCGAGCCGAACGCTCTGACCCATACACATGTTTGCCATTTGTGTTGTATCTTAAACATACATACACATGATCCATGCATGTCATAGAAGCATGGCTGCAGAACCCTGACAGAATCATGTCCAAAAGCCATGACGCAAACCCAGGAGGCAACCGTGACACACACCCATGTCAGAAAACCATGTCACTTAGAACCATAATGATGATGATAGACCCATATTTTAGGCCACACCGACTTAATTTTATTAAAATTAAGACCCCAAACTAGTACGCGCGGGCGAATAAAAAAATCCGCCCCAAAATAAAAATGCAACTAAACCACAGGAATACAAAGCCGGTATCGTGAACTTGCGGAAGTGCAAAGTGGCGTATACTACAAACCGGCACATGCTTGATGTTTTTCGGAATTTATGAGTCGGTACTGTACGTATGAGTTTTTGAGTCGTGGAGCTTGGGTAGCCTGGGTGCCATCCTCCAGAGTTACCGACGGCTCCGTAATGTCGCTAACTATCATGGACTACCCAGGCCTACAGCCTCGGAGGGCGTGATCTTTTTTTCTTTGGAGAAAAGTCGAAACTATTGCGCGCGCGGATGTCATCCATGAAATTAAGTCGATGTGGCCTAATACAGAACAATGATACTACAGTATTTTTGTGTAAAATGTACGCATATGAAACAGTATACTAGTACCCACTCCTTGACATCAACATACTGCCCTGCATCGTAGTATCGTGTCATGGCGGCAACCAGGTTATCAGAGGTCTGCTCTATCAGATAGCACAGCTGTAAACATACAAACAAACAAATAGATAAATAAAATATAAACTTGAGTTCCGTATCTGTATCTGTATAGCCGGTACGGTATAACCGCCCCTCAGCGTAACACACCAGCTTCGCAGGCACGCGGCGCGGCGGCAGCTGACTACATTACACCGAACGACTTGTTACCCCTATATAACCCTTGAACATCTAACTCTAAACATTGTTTAAAGCTATCTAATGACAATGCCCCTACTGTAATTGGTGACAGCGAGTTCCACTCTGCGATAGTTCTAGGAAAGAATGAGTTTTTGAACACCTCAATCCTTCTTTGATAACTCTGGTACTTGAAGGCATAACTATTTCTTGTTCTTTTCTGAGCTGGTATTAGATATTTAGTAGCTGGAACGGTCACCAGTTTATTAGTCATTTTGTACATCATGCATAGGTAATCTTAATCTACACTCCAAGCAGAGTTGGGTGCAAGAAAAATTCCAGTGCAAAAAAGAAACCCCGATACAAAAAAGTCTAAAAGCACGCCAAAAATAACCCAAACCTATGCTTGGAGAGTAATATTTATCTTTACAACTGACAGATTGAAAATGTTGCCAAATATTTGTCGGAGGTATGAGATTCTATTTGGACCTGTTTGAGACTGTAGGCACTGTTGAAGGGGCTCATGTAGCTGCGGACTCGTTTCCACTCGGCGTCCTGTAGAACCGTCAGACTGTACTTCATCACTGGTCCGTTCCCCGGCATCAGCTGGAGCAGGGACCAGAAAAACAGCAATGGTTTATTCACAATATATATAGACATACATATATACATACATAGATAGACCGCTGTCGCCTTCATCAGGATAAGTAAGGCCACAGCAAGTAATTTTTATGGATGACATCAGCGCGCGCATTAATTTTCGTCTGATTTTGGGGAAAAAAGAAGAAATTTTGTTGCCTTCTGACAGTGGTCACCATGCCGAAAATGACTTCTGACAGTGGTCAACATGCCTGAAGGTGGATGGCAGATAACTATGAAGAGAGAAGACAAGAAAAGGCTCTGATTTAATGTTTTGTTTGTTTCTTTCTTTCTTTGATGCAGTAATATGTGATGTTGGCTGCGTATATGTGATGTTCCTACTGAATAAAAAGTATTTGTACAATGATTGAGTCAAAATTTAAAAATGTAGGAATCTTGTTTTTTCGGCCCACCTTGTTTTTTTCGCCCGCTCGCATTAAATTTGTAGTCTGCGGAGGATGTCATCCATAAAATTTACTTGCTGTGGCCTGATGGCCAATCGCTTTCGATCGGGAATCCGGGAGTTACGGAAAGTACAACAACAGTTTATTGTTCTGTCTATGCAAAGTCTTAGAGATGGTACGCTGGAGATATGATATGTCTACATGTACATGTACATAACATTTATACATACTCTGCGGTTGGCGAAATTGGGGAACTCCTTGACGTTGATCTGTTTGATGAGTTTGGTGTCTGCGACGATGAGCACAGGCAGTTGTCCCTCATACACCCTAGAGGAAATACAAAGTCGCTTTTACACTGCTCATGCCGTCAACATTGTTTTATATAATAATGCAACGTACTGTTTTACCATGAATGTTTCATCATGTCTGTATTATCATTACGTTTTACTTACAAACTTCTGTTTCATGGGTAATCTACAACCACATCTATCACACCAATGACACATATGACAAAGTTGCTGAACGATACGCAAGTTCTGTAACATACTGGATGCTGTACTGGATGCTGTACTTTTCGTACTTTTGATATTGTATTTCCTATGTATATGTAGTGTTTGTATTGAAGTCTGAATTGATAATATTCTCAAGATGTTAAATTGTAAAAAAAGTCTACAATTCAGCCATTTAGGCTGCCACCGACTTTTAAACCTGTATGTCTATGTATTTGTTTATGTGAATAATAAACCAGTCATCAATCAACCAATTATCATGAGTTACGTACCCCCAGTACTTGCCGTATTTCTTCATCCACTCAAGATCAATGTTGCTGAGGCCCTGAGATCAAGATAATGATGACGTTAACGTGACATATGACTACTACAATGAAGTACTCTTTTGAGCTCGTCGTGATGGTGTATGTTGTGATGTACAATATGTATGTATGTATGTATGTATGTATGTTTATATGTTTGTATGTATGTATGTATGTATGTACGTACGTACGTATGTATGTATGTATGTATGTTTGTTTGTATGTATGTATGTATGTATATATGTATGTATGTATGTATGCTTGTATGTATGTATGTACAATGTATGTATGTAACGTATGTATGTATGTACGTATGTATGTATGTATGTATGTATGTATGTATGTATGTATGTATGTACATGTATATAGTTATGTTGTTGTAGTTTGTCCGTTGATATTGACCATGACTAAACCTTTACATTAAGCCCATGTCACGCATTTAGAACCTTCCTCTCTCTTTTCTTATCATTTACATATATTTATTGAGTATTGGGCAAAAAGCATAACTTGCTTATATAACACCTTCTACTCAAAACATACAACGAGTATAAAACACATTGACAAGATACATGCATAATTACAAGGTGGATAAAACCAAGATAAATACAAACAAGACAAGTTGGTGATCTATCAATTACGAGAATCTACCCGTACAGTAAAGGAAGTTTTGAAATCAAAAACATTACAGTTTTGTAGGTGTGAGAGTGATGGGGACCCTCGCAGTAGTAAGGAACATAGGGAACTGTCATTGAGATGCTGTAGCTCTACTATGTTGGAGAGAGATGATAACAGAGTACTTCTTTGACTAGAATAAAGTTTACAATGTAGAAAGTAGTGTTCAGTTGTTTCACTCTGATAGGCACATTTACATGTAGGGTAGTCAATGACCACTAAAACAACCAAATCAAACATAAACGGACATCATACCTTCTTGTAGTCTATCAGGTTGCCTATGAGTGGTAACGGGGGCGGGCCAGGGATTCCCAGCTTTTGGAATGTCTTGTACGGCCATGTGGCATACCTACAATCGGCAAAAGAAAATACTTCTGAGAGAGAGCATGGCATCTGAACAGGCACACCACTACAGATGCACAAGAACCCTGCTGTAGTATTGATGAATATCATTTCATAATGACCTGTCCTACATATACTTTAGATAGACAAAAATCAATGAAAATGATCACATGTAAAACTGGTAAACCTCTCCCAAAGACAAACATTTAGATATTTTCAATCTACTTATGTCATGCCCCGACTCCATATCTACGTACTTAGGCCAATATATATGTAGTGCATTACAAAAGAGAAAAAGTATTGTAACAGATAGCAACGCCTAACTCACATCATGTCAAACACCGTTTACCGTCTTATTCCTGTAGTAATACTAGTAGTCTCCTAGAATAGACTTGATTGTATTGATCACACTGTTATTGATGCCATACATTGTACCATGTACAACTGTCAAGCAATAAAGTTCATTCATTCATTCCATCAAGTCAAACTTTATTTAATCAACTTGGCAGTCTTGAACTCGACTGAATTTTGTTAATTCAACATTTTGTCAATTAAAAACAATTCTGTCAATTAACAACATTCTGTCAGTTTAAAGTATTACATGACATAACGATTAATTAACATATAGTAAAAGTGCGTCGACGAGTCAAACCATTTTTTAGTAAATGGTATATCCTCTGACATAATGAACACAAAAATGATAAAAAAATTGTAACTGAACTTAAAAGTTTAACTCAACAAGAAATCGGAGTGATCATGGAGTGACTAAAAACACACTTGCCTCGGACAACTAGTATTACGTACTATGTACGCGGGTTAAGTACTAATCAGTAGAAATGCTATAGCAAGTCGTTCTTTCTGATAACTTTCTAAGTTTTTTCTGGTTGCATTGTCCTAAATGCTACTAATCTTCAATAAATGGCTTCTATGGAGCAGCCGACCATCGAAAATTAGTAAGTAGGAAGGATTAACGAAAATCTTTCTGTAAGTACGAAATAATACACTATTGATAGGTTTATGTATTGCAAGTTGATATACCAAAAAAACTGAATTGCTAACATGTATGCCAGCATGTATCACTTTTTTCATTCGTTCAAAGGTGTGAGACTGTCAATTGTTTGTGTGGTTAAGGCCACAGCAAGTAAATTTTATGGATGACATACTCCCCAGACTCCAAATCTAATGCGAGCGGGCGGAAAAACAAGACGGGCCGAAAAAAACATGGTTCCTACTTTTAAAATTTTGACTCAATCATTGTACAAATGGTTTTTATTCAGTGGGAACATCACATATACACAGCCAGCATCACATATCACTGCATCAAAGTCTCCTCTCTTTCAGTTAGCTGCCATCCACCTTCCGGCATGGCAACAGACATCTTTGCCCATTTTCGGCATGGTGACCACTGTCAGAAGGCAACCAAATTTGTGTTTTTTTTTTCTCCAAAATAAGCCGAAAATTAATGCGCGCACTGATGTCATCCATAAAATTTACTTGCTGTGGCCTAATTTAAACAAAACTCCTCACGCCACTTCTGCCACGGCTTATTATCATATCCTGATTGATAATTAACGATACTGCTGCATGTAACATCAAACCTTCACCTTTCCAAATCTAATACGGAAGCCCGGAGCAAAGGTAGAAATATACCAACCGCCTTGTCCAACGTCCAAGGACAATGTGTCTGGGAGTTTGTCAGAATTATTGACTTTTCGTGTCTCTACTCACTCGTACAGGTACAGGTACACCACATGTGAAGACCCAGTGTCAAGCCAAATACATGAGACCGACACTATATAGCTACTTGGGGGTTTCCAATATACCTGAGACAAGCTAGGGGTGGGAGAGGGTTAATCGTGATGTGGGAGAATCAGCCTAACCTAACCCAAATTTTAAGTCTAACCCTAGCCATGAACAATGAGCGTTATCGTCAGGAAGACCCAGTGTCAAGCCATATACATGATCCTGCCAAATACATGACTCCGACACTACTTGGAGGTTTCCAATATACCTGAGACAAGGGTGGGAGGGGGGTAGTGATGTGGGAGACTACACCTAACCTAACCCTAGCCCTGAACAATGATCCCAACTCTAACACTAACACTAGCCCTAAACACCTGACCTCTCACGTATGTGGCAGCTCAAGGATTTGGCTCAACACCGGACCTGTACCTAATTAATTTTACAGGTATAGGTATAGGTGTTATGTGCGCAGCCCTATTGAAAAATATTATGATGATGGTTGCATATGTTAGTCACAGAGTGGGGTAAAGTCAAACGTGCCCCTTAGGCGTCATCAAAAAAAGATCGAGAACTCTTGCACAAATGACAAATACCTAGCTACAACATCGGTACGTGCGCTTGGTCACGCACTCCAGCTCCAAGTGATCACGGGAGATTAAAAACGTAACGTCGGATTTTTGCTTTCCTAAAAATGACTTTTCTGATCGTTTCAGTGTTTAGCAGCCATACTACTGTCCAATACTGACGAAAACACGGTATCCTTGAGTTCGGGGATACGTTTTAAAATGTTGCTAAACTATTTTGGTTTGCATATTAACTGGGTGACCGTTCGGCTGTGTAAACGTTTTGATTGTTAAGATAGGAGGTGTTTGTCTAACTCACAGAAACGTCCTTGACCATAAATTGAAAATTCGCTCTCATTTGCCAGCGCCGTGGCGTGATGTGGTCGCGTCATTAGTTTTATACGACTTTTATCTTTTTTTTTATTCCAACATTTCATGACCAAATATAGCGACGGCACACTCAAGTTATATCAACTTATTTTATGCCGTCACCAACAGAGTACAAATACAGGACAGGACAATACTCATTTCCACCTGAGTGAAGTGAGGAAAGTCATGTTAAGTGCCTTTCCCAAGGGCACAAGATCAGTGGCATGTCAGGACTCGAACCCGGGACCTCTTGGTTCCGAGTCGTGCACTCTGCCGCTACGCCACACGAACCACATAAATAACCAACTATTTGAAGGTTGACTGAAGTTTGGGAGCAGTCTGGCCAGATTTAGGCCACGTCTAACTTTCTGTATAAATCCGTAATGGCAATTGAGTTAGAGTTGGCCCCCGAAACACGGCCCGACTTACTCCCATACACCACCCAACCACTAGCTACCCTGTCCTCCGGCCCGTCCACACCCGAATGTTTTAAACATTCTCAAACGAAACCGGTCGTGTGACAGGCTGAATAAAAGTTCTAAACGGGAACTATGCATATATGCGGCTCCAGATGTCTTACTGAGGGACGACTGCGTGTGCAAGATGTCGGTTAGCTGAGGAATGAATCCCCTCGAATTCACTTTTTAAACATTCTCAAACAATCGGCTGACAGTCGAACAGTAGCCCACTTCGCCAAACACCTGCCAACCACAGCCGACCTTGCTCCCGACCTACTCCTAAGTAACCACTGTAGCCTGGTATCCAGTCTGATCGTGGTCGGGGCGCAAGAGTTCTGTCCCGCCTGCCTCACATAGGTTTCCAGGTGTGTATTTCACGTTCGTGTTGGGGGAAAACCACGGTAGATTTGCAAATATTCTGCTTTGATATTCAAGTCAGCTAAATTGACTTAATTTTAACTCTAAATTATGATATTTCAATCACCACACCCCAAGGTCGAAAATAAACCACAAAAGAATGTTCAAGGAACAAAAACAGACATATGAATGAGTTTATACCATTCAGACATAATTCTTGAAATTTGTTTGCAATTTTTTCAGAGGTCAGCATAAGCGTAACTGACAAGGTATCATACGCCAAAGGGAATTATAGCAATACTTATCTTATTGTCTTATCAGTTCAACATTTATTAACACAAAGGGGCTCGAGCTGTACACCTTGCCATATGGCACCATAAAAGAGGAGTTTACATGAATGAACACATCTGCTTAAAATTTTCAACAGCATTTTACGAAGACCTAATACCACAGCCCCCTGGCCCATTACCAAATTTACCTTATAGTAGCCAACAACATACCTAAATTTAGTCTAATTTAGACTCCCTTGCAGGGGAAACAGTAGTACTTTGTAGATATTTAAAAAAATTTCTGGCCAATTGTTCACTCGACTTTGGGGGGCTAATTTTATTACTCATTTTATGACTCGTTGCAGAGCCTACATCCAGCAGCCACAAACTAAAGATGAGAAAAAAAGACAGATAACAAAAAAAAGTGCCGGGGCGAGGTCTAAACACACTTCCGCTTCGAGAGAGTACAGTACAGTGTTGCACATGTATTACTAGTATTGCACACTAATAACTGATAATTGACTGGACTTACACATAGAAAAGGATGAAGAACAGTACCACCAGCACGAATGTTGGCGACAGGAAGATGTGGAGAAGGTAGTTCCAAACCATGTTGACGTTACCCCAGCCTGGCCCACACTCGGGTGTCCAATTCAACTACTGTTTGAAGGGCCCGTTTGCTGAGGTATTTTGATAAAGGGTAGGCAGGGCCCCATAGATATGCACTGATGTCTGTTACTATTTAATTTGTTGATCGTCATGTTTGTCTGTGAGTGAGTGCAACCGGTTAAAAATATTGACGTTATGAAATCTTATGTGTTTTGGGAAAGATTTGTCATAACATGCGCTCAATATATAGGTGATACATGATGATTCGACGATAATCAAGCGCTACTATGTAACGTCTAGGGGTCCTTCCCTCAGGTACAAACTGACCCATAAAATCAGACGATCACGTGTGTTGAATTGATGGTGTGTGTTTTGCGTTAATGTGTGACTTCGTGCTTTCTCTTAGGAACCGCCTTCGCACATTTTACACAAAAAAGGGTTGAGAAACGGAATAATTCGATCAATATTTGATCATTTTTCATCAGATTAAGGATATTGACACTAATAGTTAAACTGTCGTTGGTGACAACAAAGAGCCACAGCTATTCGAACGGACTATTTATAACAGCATCAAGCCTCAGTTCGAAGTCCAGTTGGATTCTTTTCCTCAGTCAATGTAAATACATGCTGTAGATAATAGCTATATAGCTATATAGAAACACAAACAGTGACTTGGGCATTTAGGTCAACATAAAATAACTAGAGTTCCACGATCTCATGCCTTCGTCAAATGACACTGTTCAGTCGATCATATTCTGACCAATGGCAGTCTTATCCTACAAAAGAAAGCCGTCCTAGCAATAAAAAAATAATTGATTTGTAGATTTTACAAAATCATGTACATGTATTTAGTTAATCTCCAAGCAGATCTTTCGGTGGGGCGAAGACAGTATCGCGTTGGCGTCTGTAACCATTTCCCCACCACAGCCTGGCCAATTTGATACTGTCTTTCCCCCCACCAAAAGATCTGCTAGTTAATATATAATGATTAATGGTGCACATGAAACCCACTAATTTAGTCCTGCCCTAGCCTCAAAAGAAGACTAGTATATGTCACGATAGAGACTAGTACTGATCTGGAAGAATCGGCGATTCTGCTGGTAGAGATCCCGATCGGAGTACACTAGTCTGCGACGTCAATGGTACATTCTGCGATTTCTCTTCAGTATCATTTAAGGCCATATTGATTTGATTATATGAATGATTAACTGACCTTTATAACTTCACCAAAAAAAAAATTAACGGCGCTTGGTCACAAATGTGTTATGTTGACACATTGGCGCACCAAATCCGTAGGGTGTTTTTGGCACCCTGTTAGACAATTAGCCTAAGAGGCTCGGTGGGCGTCACTCCACCGTACATCGTACATGGTGTAAAGTGCCTTTCCCAAGGGCACAACGTCGGGCCACGGTGAGTATCGACCCGGTTCCGAGTCCAATGCTCTAACCGTTGCGCCACCGACGCCACCTTATAACTTGACAAGGAGCCCGAATATCCCATGTGCGCACATACCATCCCCTGCCCATAAACTTGTTTGCACATCTGACCTATAACTTATAAGGCAAGGAACTTTTGTACTGGGCAGTAAATTGCTGTGTTCACAACGATTCCGTTTTTGCTCTACCCGTTTTACTCATCGTGTCATCATACACTTGATGTAGTTATTAACTTACAAAAGGTCACAAATGCATCTATTCTAAATCTAAGACATCCAATGCAATTCAAGGTGGCAAAAATATTCTGGGTGAGGTAATCTGTCTGATATTGACATTTACTGTCATTTTCGCCATCATCATATTATACTTGAAGTGCTTCAAATAGCCCCAAAACAAACTAGATAAGGAGTCCCTATATTTTGGTACCACCAATAGATAGCTAGAACCAGTCTATGATACAAATTAACTGTTTTCTATCAGCACATTGGATTTTTACCTCAGATATCTGTATGGTATGGGATTGATTCAACTTGCTACATTAAAAATGACCAGGAAATTGACTTAGAAACCCAGTTTTCTTGCCCAGAAATTGCTTTGGGTGCCTTTAACATCAGTGTCCAACAAATGTATTTTCATAATGCCACAGCAAGTAATTCTTATGGATAACATCAGCTGTGCACATTGATTTTCACCTGATTTTGGAAAAAAAAATTGTTGCCTTCAACAGGCCGAAAATGGGCAAAGATGTCTGTTGCCATGCCGGAAGGTGGATGGCAGATAATTATGAAGAGAGGAGACATGAAAAGGCCCTGATTCAATTTTTGTTTCTTACTTTGATGCAGTGATATGTAATGCTGGCTGTGTATATGTGATGTTCCCACCGAATAAAAACCATTTGTACAATGATTGAGTCAAGATTTTAAAATGTAGGAACCTTTTTTTTGGCCCGGGTTGTTTTTTTCGCCCGCTCGCATTAGATTTAGAGTCTGCGGAAGATGTCATCCATAAAATTTACTTGCTGTGGTCTTGTTAGTGGGCTTCTGTGGCTGACTCTCATACATTACCATTTAACATGATCACAACAGTTAATGCTTGGTGATCCAGTATGAAAAAAAGTGGGAAGGAAAATTTAACTCGACCACACTGTGCTTAGTATTACGGATTTGGATTCAACTGTGATTTTCCTGGAAAAATAAACTAGTGGAAAAATGTGTTACTTTGCGTTCTTCTTTACTATCTTACTTTTGTCGAGAATTTTTGACATTTAGGACAATACAGCAGTGACCCCTTGCGAGACACAATACACCTGCAAGTCAGCCTAGAAATCATCTACCTTTAAGTTTAACTTTCCAACTGTATCACGCAGCAATAAACTTCCACAAAGCTAAGTTATTATTACTCTTAAAACACAATAATATTTTAACGTTATCGTTGTAATAAACTAAATAGATTTTCAACTATCTATGACAATATATGTTATTTGAAAGTTTTCCTCTTTTATCGGCAATTTTGTTGTCTCGTACAGCTTTCAATGGGCACAAAAATATGTGTTGTTTACTAGACTGTAACATTCCGAGACAGGTACAGACAGTCCCAGGGCCCCAGTCATTGAATAATTCAGAAAATACACGTCAGAAAAAATCTGATGGAGGAAAACAAATTAATATTCGATGCCTTCTCTCATACATACAAGTTCTAAATGAGGTACTACCTTATTTGGGAGAGGTTACCATGGATACCTTGTCACGTGACACGAGAGTTCGTGCTATAGATGAAATACCAGTTTTTAATATTAGTTGCTGACAGAATTCGGGTGTACTTGGTACATCAAGTTCGTGCGCCAGCAGTTTTCAACAGTTCATTAGAAAGAAGTTTACTACAAAGAACTGGTACAGTAGAAGTCAAAATGGCAAACCTGTCGACTACCGGAACATCACTGGTGCTGCTGTGGAGTCTGTGCTACTGCCTGTTAGGTGCATTCGCGATATCAGGTGTGTACGTGTAATTAGCTAGTTCTCAGTGACCATTGACAGCATGAACAATTATTATATATATATCTTTATTCAGTCTACGCTTGCACGTCGTAAAAAAGACTTGTTCAAAAACTATCAGCATAAAACATTCCTTCTGATGGTATTTTGCAAGGTTAATATTTTGGCAATTAAAAGCGTCTCCTATCTGGCTAGCCTGATTAAATCGCTTTACGGTTGCCGGCCGCCCAACATCCAGCTCTGCGGGGAGGGGCTAGTAAAGCCGCGGACGGCAGAGTTTGCGTTATACAGACTACAGTACTATCTGGCGAAAGAAGTACAAATTAGAATCTGATGATTGTTTATGTGTCACGTTAGCCGTGATCTATTTGAGCAGTGCTTTATGTTGCGTTTTTAGGGCAAATTTCATGTTCTATTCTGGTTGGTAGAGTACTTGAGGAAGGCAGCAGAAGGATCTTCGGGTGGTAAATAGCTCATGGCTGTGTGTATAGAACTGCGTTAACCATAAATCTTTGATGTAGGCATGTATGACAAGAATTCGGAGACCTCAGACGTCCATGAAATATTTAGATTTTGTGTGCCGGTGACTGTCTGTGTCGTCTTCTCATTCACCATAGTTTCCACGAGTCTTGTACAAGGGAAACAAGACATACATGTACCAGCTGTCAAGGAGGTCATGTAACGAAAAACACCCGTGAAAACAGGGAGCACTACCAGGTCTCCCTCTGGGGCAGAATGAACCCACCATATCCATATTACTACCTGACCTAAGGGTCATGGGAAAACACAGACACACTCACGAACACACACATACAAAAACAATACCTCCAGAGGAGAATACTTCTATTGACGATATCTCTCGTCTTGTGTAGATATCAATGTCGCTGTGGGGAAGACGGCGTTCCAAACAAGCACCCATAACAGGACGGATGGGGTCGCCAGCCTTGCCGTAGACGGGAGCACCTACACCTACATGAACGGCAGCAATCAGACCTGTACACTCACACAGGAGGAGGCTGATCCTAGCTGGTGGGTGGACCTCGGCCGATCGTATTTGATTGACAGGTACGTATATGCACGTTAACTGTGTAGTACGCAGTGATCCCTTTAATAGTTGGTAATTCAATGGTCTTTACATCTAACCATGTTGTTTACCACTGCCCTAGCGGGGGGAATTAGAACCAGTCCTGAGGAAAATTTGGCATTTAGCCATTTTCGGCAGGAAATATTCAACATAATGATTGTCATATGACATTATTATATTTTCATATCTGTGTCTGGGTGCTTTAAGACAAAAATACATATACATGCACACTGAAATATTGATGGTAGCTGGTATACAAACTCAAATTTTGATTTCATATTAGTTTTTTTCAGATGAAGGCCCTACAAATAAAAAGAAAACGACAAGACCATTTACAACAGAATGATGTGATGTTGACATGTAGAGCTATCTATATATCAACACACCGTTTTTTTCCTTTTGAATTGATGTGCTTGAAGGGAATGTGTCAAACAAGAACTTGCATATTTATAGAGAGATTCAAATACAAATCATAACTAGAAAGGCCAATATTTGCTTTGGAGCAAATACAGCGATGGGTTCACCACATTTTACCACATGGCAGGGAAAGAATGAGAAACACAAGGGAAAACAATGATTTACATTGATATAACTATAATATGAAGTAAAATACAACTAAAACAACAGTTGGATAGCTATTCCCTACTTTATTGGTTAGGATTTTTAATTGCATAATGCAAACTGTTGATTTTCAAAATAAAAAAAAACGTCCATGCCCGGCATTCCAATGCTGGAGCAGGAAAGCTTGAAATACCTACCAAAACACTTGAATACAGACATACTGTCAGTATGGAAATGCTTCTGTGCAGGTGTTGATCAAGTTAAATCCCAACAGCCAATCAGCAAGAAGTATAGAGGAAAGCTGCATGCCTATTGGTTGATGCCCTGCATTCCATTGTGATGACTCATGCCCAAACGTGGTAAACAAGGCAAACTAACACAGTAATACATTTGCTATAACACAGCCAAAAAACTCAAATAAAACCATTCTAAAAGCCTGTATCACAATAATTTAAAAAACGCCTAGGGGTATTTGCCCACTGTACCTCCATACCAAATTTCAGGACCTTAGGCCCTAAAATGAAGAAGCTGAATCCATTTAAAAAATGGCAGGAGAAGGAGGAGGAGAAGAAGGAGAAGAAACATCAGAAAAAGCAATATGGTTTCACCACACCACTTCGTGGTGTGGTGAACCCATAATAAATTATACCATTGCATGTGAATTATCAGAGTTTACAGATTTTATATGGTGTTTTGCGACCTTCATCTAGAAGTGTATGAAACTAAATTGCCATAATTTGTTTTAACAATATCTACAGAGTGGTCATCGTCAACCAGATGGACTGTTGTTCGGAACGACTCAACCCCTTCAACATCCACATCGGGGATTCCGACCAGGTCAGCACGAACCCCAGGTGTGGAGGTGACCATCAAATCGACATTACGAAGCCGGCCATTGTTATCCCGTGTCGGTGGATGGCGGGACGGTATGTGGGGGTACGTCTGACTGGTCCCTCCCGAATCCTGACACTGTGCGAAGTCCAGGTTATTACAGGTAGGCGTTTGCCACATTTACTGAACATGGTTATGGCATCATTGTTGTGTCAAGAAAACAAAACAACAAAACTAGAGAGGCCGACATTTGCTTGGGAGCAAATACAGCATATTTCAGTCCATCTCCCTCCCGCGCAAAAGTGAACTATTCCAAACTAACCCCAGTGTAAAACTGGCAAAGATTCTCAAATAAATGAATTATATAGTAGCTATGTAATTGAGAACAAAGATGCAAGAACAAGCACATTGAATCTCAAAAGCTTTACTAATCTTATTACCTCCGGGTAGGGATGTACATCCCGAGCGCGGAGGTTTTGTGAGGGAAGACGAAAATTGCGTTCGCACCCGTTTCTCGCGTTTGGGTGGACGGATATGTCTGGGAGTTGGTATACGTTTTGCTGTTGGGCTGTAGATGGTGCACGTTGTTTGGTTTTTTAGTATGTGTGTTTTAGTGCGTCAAAATGATGCGTTTAGACCGCCGATGGACACCCCTTTCAGTGTGAAAGTGGACCTCAGCTTTTGACCTTTGCATGTATAAGGACGATTGAGGTCGCGACCACTGATCTGACCTTTCACACAGAGGGGTGTCAGCATTGTCGATAAATTCTTTCTTTGAAACTGTTCAGATGTGAACCACATGTGCCGTCAATCAACGTCTCATTATCGTGCCCGTGCCGG